CCTACTGACTTGAGAGAGGTAACTCCTCAGAAAGAGACCACGCAGAGGATGCTGGATGCCACGACACATTTCAACGAGATCTTTAAGAACATCCTTTGCTGGAGCTTCTTTAGATTTAATGTAGACAGAGCCCACAGTACAGAGCAAATATCTAACACAAGAAACAAGGAATTACAAAAACGGCCACTCCAATACGTGGACAGACAGTGGCAAGTAGCATGTCTTGGTGTCCCAAAATCTCTGTTAGACCTAAGCCAAAGGGCCGGATGGAGTCATAATTCAGGAGTGAGTTTCACAATTCCTATATTCAAAGCCTATTGGACGTAAAATCCTCTTCCAGCAAATATGTTTATTTTTTCAAAATTTCGAAAATGAAGGCAGACATTCAAGTTATTGGTTTTTATGATAATTCCAATAAATGCAAATAGATCTAATATATGCCCACTTGCTTTCCACAAGGAACTTATAGGGTACGAGCTAAGTAGAAACTTAAGTAAATAAGCACTATCGTTTACATGATGCTCCTATTCAAATCTCTGTTTCTCTTTATCTTTCCAACATCTAACCATTTAAACTTCCTACGCACGAGGATTAGAGTTGAACCCAGATGCAAATTCTAACAGCGAACAGAGCGAACAGACATCACTGAAAAAAGGGGGAAACAATACAACAACAACAACAACAACATACCCAGTATACTCCCAACAGGTTGGGGTCTGGGGAGCCAGTTGTACGCAGACCTTACCCTTGTAATTATACAAGGAGGCTGTTTCCGTAGCGAACAAGGTGCATTGCGCCGTTTGATATATTTTTTTTTTCTAGAAACTTCACTAATAGAAGAAGCACTAGAATTTAATTAAGCCATTTTGATCTAGTCCATTATTAGCACTAATGCCAGGAGAATTGTCAACAATGACTCTTCCAGCTCCATTTGCAATGGACAAAAAAAAAGGGGGGGAAACAATACTTGGGAAATTAAATGAAATCAAGCAGAGCTGACAAATGATTCTTACAGTCTCGGTAGGATGTTGCCAGCGTGCTGCACTAGCTCATAAAGTTCGACAATAGAGCATCCACGGTTAGTCTCCTCCTTGAAGAAGATTTCCAATTTCCGCAGTTCATCAAACGCCCGCATATCTACACACCGAGCTCAAGTTTCAAATGACGATCAAGGAAAGAAGAGAGCAAACTGTAAATGAAACACCAAAGAACTAAAGCTTTAATACACACAAAGTTCGTAGTATTTGTGAGGGGAGAGCCTAGAAGTCCGGAGCTCCGAAAGCATCTGTGCGGAATACTTCAGTGCGTCCTTCAAATTGTTCGAATCCTGAGATCGACATGAATTGAAGCTCAAAAACTAGGGTTTAACTGAATCACCGAAAGAAAAAAAAAATTAAGAGCAACAAAAAATCCAATACGAGAGCGCGATGCATGTAAAAGGCGTTTTGCTGAAGGCCAGCGATCCCGGCGGAGAGCCATTTTTCTTCGTCTTCAACTCCGTCGGCGATCATCCCGTATCTCTCTCTTTCTCCGACGACAAATGCGTAGAGAACTATGAAAGTAAACGACGAAAAATATTAGTGACAAACTGACAATGGCAGTGAAATATATTAGTGAAAAACTAAAAGTGAAAAATATTAATGTTAGGACTTAGGAATATGGCAAATGTGCCTGGGATCTTTCAACCATGTATGTAACATATTAATCCTGTGTTTTGTAGTTTAACTGTGATACCCTTTTATGAAATTTTAATTTTACCTATTACCCTTTCAAAAAATAGTATTCGAACTTGAAATAATACTGAAATTCTTTTACAATAATAAAGTTATTTTATTTAAAATTTTAAATTTTTTAATTTTATTATCAGCCCAATTTAAAATAAAATTTTCACATGCACGATTGACTGGATTATATATTATAGTTTTTTTCCTAATTCATAAGTAATGAATTTATATAAAATTTTTTGAGTTGATATATAATTTTATAATAACTTTAAATTAGTATTCATAGATTACTTAATTTTATAATCAAGAAATCCAAAACTATTTATTTAATTCACATATGCAATGTGTACATCAAATCAAAGATGGTCATAATTATTTTGATATATTATAAATGAAAATTCAATAATAAATACAAAAAAAATAGTTTTAAATTTTATTTACAATTTTAGTTAATCAAATATTTTATAACTTGAAAATTCCTAATTGTTATGGATAGAATGCAAATCTACTACTCCGGAGAAAAAAAAATTAACACGATAACAAAAACACAATAATTTTTTTCTTCCAACAACAAACAAACATTCATATAACTCAAACAGCCAAACCCTATTCCCCATTTTATTTTTAAGAGGTGAATTGAATAGAGATCCCTCAAGACCCATTTGCTTCAACTATTATTTTAATTATTAAAATAAGTAAATCGTGTAATATTGTTGAAAATTTCGTTCACTATTTTTTGCTCTAGCTCGTCAAAAATCTTTGATTCCGCCGTTGACACATTGTACAGGAGAGATTTCACATTCATCATTATCACAACACAAACAATACAACCATGAATTATGCCGAGAAGAACAAAAAACGAACAAAAACAAAAGAGAACGAGAGAGCAAAGTATACAAAGAATAACCAAACTGTAACTACGTGAAATCGCAATGACCTCAAAGAATACGTGACATGTTAGACAATGCACAACTAGGAATGTTGTCCTCTACAGAAAGTGATCAAACACACAGAGAACTCAAAACATTCCAAACACATATCATCCGAATGAACATCCATGTTTTTTCTTACATAAACTACCTATCTAATATTCTATGTATTGAATAGTTGGAGGGCTTGTTCTTGTTGCGTGAGGGCCTGCATAAATTCAAACCATGCTTTTTTTTTTTTGGTTTTTGGCAACACGAATCAAACATGAGTGGAGATAGTACTTTAGCTACCTTTAAACTGACGAGCCTCGATTTCTCACCCATCTTAGACAAGGGCACAACAACACATGAGGGGGGCGAGAAAATCACCAAATAGTAGATTTACATACAATGGACAATCAAATTATAATTACTTTGGATTGGCGTGTGTTTTTCTAGACAAAAGCAGAATATTAAAGAATAAGCCATCAGGTCATTACAGGCATCTGCTGAAGCTGCAAATTCAGAGGCAATTATAGATATCATTAATGCCCTATACCAAGATGTTTCCTTCTTTTACAAATAATGATGGAAAAGCACTTGAAAAATAGGCTAAATCTCTAAAGTTCACAAATTTGGGGGGAAAAAAAAGGGACAATACAGAAAAGAAAAATTGTGAGAGTAATATGCTCAAGTACAAAATTTTGAACTTATTAGAAACAGAAATGGGAATACAGTCTCATGTAGTCATTTTATACCTTTTTGAGAATGTTTCAGACATTTCAGTAGACTCACTAACTCACTTTTGATGCGTACTTTACAGAGAAACGACACAAATTACAAATGGTTGTGCAAGCATGCTTATTACACTTGCAAAACAAATAGATTTTTAAAGCAAACTTACAGATGTGTCTCTTGTTGCTACAGAAGCTGGAAAACGTGCCACATGTGATAACATGGTTTTTAAGCCTGCTGTGTAAAATCTACTCAGTCACAACTCTATTTGGGCAGAAGAAAATAAAAGATTGGTGAAATGTCAATAAAGCACCAACAACAAAAGTGTTCCTAAAAGTGCACAAACCAGCAAATTCTACTCAACCAGCCTCATACCATAATCCAATTGAGAAAAATGAAAAACCAAAAATCACATGAGGAAAAAAAAAATTAATCAAGAATCTCTACACGCAAGCACGCACTTAGAAATATCTTAGTTCCACGCAAATTTGTTCTCACCAATTGTTCCAGACTTCATACATCCATTTACATCCAGTTAAAACTACAGAATCAAACATAGAAATATGGAATACATTAAAAATAAATCTTCAACAGCATTCATACTTTTCATCAGACTAAAGTTATCAATAATCGCCAGATAGAATAAAAGAAAAATAATAATATACCTGAACACGAGCACTATTAACGAGAGCAATGAGAGGTATAATCTTCAAATAACGGTCAATCTCACTGTCATTCTTTCTGTGAACTGGTAAACAATATTCCAACCCATGGCAAGTAGGTACAAGTAGCTCCTGTCACGACAGCTATTGACCAGTACGTATGATCTCCTCAGTGCATCCTCCAGCAGCTCAAGCAGCTCCAGAGTTTCCGTATACTTCCGGAGCTCGGAAATACTGAGCGGCTCTAGAAGGTTCTCGATCCGTTTCAGGTGCTGTGCAAACTGCAGGCAGTTCTCTTTGTGCATACAGGCCGTGCAAACAGGCAGATCTCACCACCCCTTTTAAAAATTAAATCTTTTTTCCAGCTACAAATAAATTTTCTTGAAAAAGGGACAAAAATATAGATTTTTTTTGTTATCAGTCTACTCATAGATTTTTTTTGTTATCAGTCTACTCAATAAACAGTTTGTCTGTGTAAAAGGGCGGAGCCACCTCAAAGATTGGGGTGGGCTAAGCTGGTTTTGAAAATTCGAAAAAAAATAAATTAAGCCCAATTTAATCATATTGGGGTGGGCTAAGCTGGTTTTGAAAATTCGAAAAAAAATAAATTAAGCCCAACTTAATCATATCAGCACAGTGAGGAAATGACTCCACCTACAAATATTATTTATACAATTTACCAAACTATCTAGTCGATTTTTACTTTCCAAACATACGAGATAAGATGCAACTTTCGTACATCTATAAGGGAAGTTAGCTAAAATGTAGGAATAAATAATTATTTATGGAGGAAGTTAGCTAAAGTGTAAGATGCAACTGTTCGTACATCTCTAAAAGAAGTTAGCTAAAATGTAGGAATAAATAATTATTTATGGAAGAAGTTATCTAAAGTGTAGGAATAAATAATTATTTGTGAAGAAAAAGTCTGTCAACTGAATTGTAGGAGAATCAGTAATTGTTTAATAAAGTAGTTGCATCTGAATTTAATTGTGGGAAAATGAACACATTTATTGAAAACCAAAAATCTTGTAAACAAGTGATTCGAAGGTAATGGTTTTCACACATTTTGTTTTTATGTTTTGGATGCTCATAGTTAAAATAATTTGAATAACAAGGAGAAATTGAAGAAAATTGTGAAACACAGGATTCACGGGTCATGTCCGTTGGATTCTTTTTTCGAGGAGGATGATGAAAAAATAGTCCATGCTGAAGAGTTTGAGTTGTGGATTCATAAGGGTCTTCTACATCATCCTATTATGAGGCAGGATTGGTAATTCTCTCCTTTTTTTTCATAATTTATTTTTTAAATATTTATTAATTCTCATGTTTATAATTATATTTTTGTTTTTGCATAGTCTTATTCTTTATGACAGGGAGCATGGTACTATCGATCCACCTCTTGATTTTAACGTTGCTAAAATTAGTGATAAGGCATGGTTTTATACCCTCTTCGCGCCGGGATATTTTTGGGAAGCTAGTGTTAGTCCCTACTATTATATTAAAATTTCTAATACTTGTTTGTTTCTTACTACATATTTTTGACATTATTAATTTGTTTATTTCATTTCACAGCATATTGAAGTTATTTTCTACTACTTGAGAAAAATCGGGTTGTATTCGGATTCGAAAATAGCCGTGAGATACACAACTACTGATCCACTTTTTGATGAAACAATCAAGTCGTTGTATATGAGGTATATTGAGCATGCTTCGGAAAGTGTCATTAATGTCTCCAGCCTCATTTCTGATTATATAATGGGTTACAAACAAATATGTGGCAAACCATGGGTTGAAGTTGATCACGTTCTATTCCCGATGTACATTGAGCTAGACAAAGTAGGTCGATGGATCCTTGGCAGACTTTCGTTCTTTGATAGATTATTTTATGTTTATAACTCGCGTTGGTCGGTAAATGATGATTCCGAAGTTGCAAAATCTGTGAAGTGCTACTCAGATATCTTGCCAATTTTTTTGGACCTTGTTGGATTATATAAGAAAAGGTGTGATATCAAACAGAAGAATTGGCGATATGCGAGAAAGAAAAATTCTGAGCCTTTCGATATTGTTATTGTTAAGGGGCTGCCAGGAGAAAGACTCGGGTATACGAATATTTATATATATATATTATCTTTTAATAGGTTAAGTTTATATGTATTTTTTCATCAAGTCTTATATTTCTCGTGTTTATTCAGCGATTCCGGGTTGTTTGTAGCATCATATGCAGAATACTTCATCACTGGAATTGAAATGCCTATTAGAGATTTTGACTGTTATTTACACAGAAAGCGTTTAGCTACTTTACTATTCAAGCATGGAAACCTCAAACTGGAACATGGTTATCAAAGTGCAGATGAATCCCCAGGTCTTCTACCCGATGATGCAAGAATGGTTTTGTATGATAACAAGAAGAAAAAATAGAAATATACATTTTTTTCTTTTTATACGTTCCTTCTATTTTTTTGGTGAAACAAGGGTGATGCAAGTGTTTTGTAATAGAACATTACAGAATTTAGTTGGTTGTATTTATTTTTCATTGCTTGTTTCGGATTTAATAATTGTTTTGGTTGTATTTGAGGTGTTTGAAAACCGGGCGGACATTATCTATGTGAACTTATCTTAAAACTCAAATTTTCACAAGATGGTAAAAAATTTAACATGAGTTCTTAGTATACATATCTGTTTTTCTCACTCGAATATTTATGTGGTATGAAAATATATTAAAAAAAAAAAGAGAAAAGAAATAAGATTGTCTTCATAGTTACAGGTAACTCAAAACCTTTCTTCTTTTACCAAATTGGTGAATATATATATATTAAAGCAGGTGTCTTTTGTATTTATTTTCACTTTTCCAAGGCATTAGTGAAAGTATAAATTTTCACTTAAAACAATGAAATTTCATTTAAAATTATAAGGCAGAACAATAAAAAACTTTCAACATAGACTGGAATAAAAGAAAATAATACTTAAACATGTGTTTCTCAATCAAAGATCAATGAGCTAAATGTTTCTAGCTTTTCTTCAAAAGTCATTATACATTCACATCTTGGGCGGATTATGACAGGTTTTAACATTATGCCCCTTTTCTCCACATTTTCCGCATCGAGTCTTCCATCTGTACTCCCACCCAGAAATAAGTCTTTTTTTTCTTCGCCTCCCAGACTTTGATTTACCAAATGGCGGTAGTACAGTGTTTGGTGACATCTCAGCTGAATCTTTTTCTAGTATATCACCTTCAACAGGGAAGACCGTTTCTTCATATGTAGCCAACATGCTTTCTTTACGATAATACCACGAACAATATGGAAGTGGGTCTTCGTTGTTGCCTCGTAAAACAGAAAGAGCATGCGGACATGGAAGTTCATCCATTTGGAACTTATTGCAACTACAAACCTTTTTTGCCAAATCAACCACATAAAATCTTTGGCCTGATGAAACCTTGTATATCCGGTCACTTGCCTTGTGTACCTTTTATTTATTTACAAAAATTGTAATCAACAAATTAAATAAAATATTAATCATATCATGATTCGTACCGTCATACATCCAGCTATTCTGTAGTTTTCTTCAAGCATCTGGTGCCCACGCTTCATGAGTGCTGTGAATGTATTTCGTGCTTCGGCTCCATTTTTCACATTCCACTCTTGCTGTAATGATCTTAAAGATTCAAGCAAAGTGATTATCGGCAATTCTCGAGCGACTTTCGTTGCTGAATTTATGGACTCTGCTGCATTAGAGGTCATTGTCAAGAATCTATTGCTCAAACAATGTGCCCTTGCCCATCTATGGTATCCCACAACATCCTTTAGGTATGGTATAACATCATTATTTGCTTTTTTCAACACATCCATATGGTGTTCGAATTCCTCAAGCGTGTATGCTCGTGCCGCTGACTCGAAAGCATGCTTAACTACATCTGAATTTTTTCTATAATTCGTCTTTATATTCTTTGACAAATGATAGATACAAACACAATGAGATGCACCTGGATAAACCTGTGAACAAGAATATTGTGTTATTTGAGAAAAATATTGTCTGTAAAATAAATAAATAAACAAAAAAAATATAAAAGAAAAAAGATAGTTATACATGTGTATGTAAACAAGAAAAAAAATAAATATCTGTAGTTTATGTGATAAAACAAACAAAAATCAACACACAGAGTCCTAATGAAAACTAAATGCAGTGATATTTTTTTACAGTCACACTAAGGAACACAATTTACAAAAAAAAAAAAAAATATTATTCATATTTACATAACATTCTTCAAGTTTTTTGTTCATCTAAGAACAAATAATATAAACACCATGCAGTACATACATACATAATTTTGTAGAATCAAGAAAAATTAGAACAATCATTTAAATTAGAGACCGACTCATTATTCTAATAACAATTAAAACTAAATTTTATATATTTCAATTTTTTTTTCATTTCCTCATGAATTACTTTGTATATTAACCATTTATATAGAAAAAAAAACTATTTATTATACTATGTAACATATAAGAACAAACAGTAACAAACAAGAACAAACAATACATAATATTGGTGAAAATGCATAAATTAAATTGTTTGGTACCTTTTCTAAATGCATTTTTTAACACAAAGAACAAACAGTTCATAATATTGGTGAAAATGCATAAAAAAAATTGTTTGGTACCTTTTTTAATGCATTTGCTATACTTTCGTGTCGATCGGTTACAAAGCATAAGTTGGGCCGTGCACATAGAGTTGATTTAAGGTTTTGGAAGAACCACTCATACGAGCTATCATTTTCTGAATCAACAACCCCGAATGCAAGTGGCAAGATGTGTGAATTTGCATCTTGTGCGCTGGCTGTTATAAGTGTCCCTCCATATGAACCCTTCAAGAATGTTCCGTCAACTACAATGATCGGTCGACAATGTTGCCATCCTTTAATTGAAGCACTCAAAGACATGAACAGATACATGAAGTGTTTATCCTCTGTGGTTTTTAGCTTAACAACTGATCCGGGATTGGACTTGCACAATAGTTCAAAATATCTAGGAATTAGCTCATATGATTCGGTCGGGTTGCCCTGGACCTCGTCTAGTGCTTCTCTTTTGGACCTCCATGCCTTCTTGTAACTAAGGTTAATTCCGTAATCATCCTTCATGTCCCTAATTATGTCGGCTGGCTTATAAGATGTTTTTATGCTCGAGAACTTTGGTTTTATGCATTCAGCCACAAGTTTGGATGTAGCTTGTCGTTGTTCGTTCATCCTTATATCGAGAGAACATGTATGTTGGGCCTCTGTGCTTCTTATTTTGAAAAAAGTGGAATCACCGACGCTTGAAGCTTTAATGTACCAATTGCATGCATCATCAATGCATCTTATGTAATATTGCTTTGGACACGACTTCACGACTTTGTACTGAAATTTTTGTTGGAGGGCAAAAGTACTTAAAGTCATTTGCAATTCCTTCTTAGTTTCATACATCTTCTCCATCATAAGGCCATACATACCAGGTGGGGGCATATTAGCTACACAACCATTTTTTGTGGGAATTTCAAGCTGGGCTGCAGTGTCTTCAACTTGCGCTAACATTGCATTGGCTGCTGATTTTGCAAAGTCAACGAATGTTTCTTTACCTTTATCCGATCCAAAACTGAATTCAGGTATCATGAAACTCAATGGCTGCACGTGACAATTATGCTCATGTTCCATTACAGCAAAATTCGAGACTTCATTTCGCGTGATGGTTATGCATAACGGGAGCTTTGTACAATCAGGTTCTCTTTGCTTCAGTTCCAAATAAAATTTTAAGCTACTATCCGTCTCAATTTCCATTGATGGATATGCATCTTTGACTTGGTACTTGATGATAAGATTTTTGGCTGCTAAGTTGATCTTCAATTTATCCGCAATAAGGTCACACAGTACACCGAAACTACAGTCATTATTGACTACAATACCGCTTACGTCATAGTCAGTGTAACTTTGCGAATTCATCCAATGACCATTGTGATGCAGAAAGATCGGGGTAGTTCCCATGACCTATTTCACCATAACAACAGATATGATTCTTATTTTTTTCAATTTGAGTTTATCAAGCAAAGAAAATTTATGTGGATTTTCTAGAGGTATTAAGCCATTCCATGAACGAAAAAATTCATTATACTTTCGTGTCCCAAATGCACTTGTATATATATCTACTACAAATTGAAAACAAGAACTACAGAAATACCTGAGTATTTATCAGAGCCTTTTGATCTCCTCGCACTATGCTTGCCTGGACCCCTTGACAAATCAATTTTCAATAACACTTTCTTTTTCTTTTCTTTAAATCCTTTGTATGCAGTCGTGGTGTGGATTTTGTGGACAACTATAATGGCGGTAAAAAGTGCAGCTCTCCCTGAATAACTCACTCTGACAATCTCGAGCCCGAAGAGTGCCCAATTTTAAAATTTCTCGGCCAGCTTTGTTTGAGTTTGATTTTCCCGACCATACACAGCCCGTTGGTGCAAAACGTCGAACATGTGGCAGATGGCAATGTTTTGGAGAAATTTCTTGTCAACTTCAATGGAAAATCTAAGTAAAATCTGGAACTCTTAAGGGGAACTCTTTTGTTTCTGGTTCATATAATTTGTCTCCAAATGCATCTATTATTATTATTATTTTCTTTTTGTTAATGCCAAACAAATGAGTGCCGGTGTTGGAAGTTTTTTAACTTCCATGTTCCACGACTCTTCGTAATGCCACGACTCTTCGTATTTATTTTCTTTTAATTTAGTTGAGTCCGTAATATGAGAATAATGCTACTAGGAATTTATAATGGGAAAAAACTAGTAACTATTACGTATTAATCTAAATTACCCTATATAAATTGGGTTTTGAAAATTAAAAAAAAATATGTTAAAAGGGAAATGGGCCAAAAGGGCCAAAGCATGCTAGTATCCGACACACAATAGAATCCCATAAGTTGAAACACAAAAAAATAATAATAATATATTATTACAATTTCTTTCCTGAAGCCAACTGAAATCAAAAGACGTGCAAGTCCGTGCCCCGTGGAGAATTCAATATCAGCATGGACCAATTTCGGCACCGTCTGGTCTATCGGTCTAGGCATTCCGGCCTCCGATCATCCCTTTTAATCTTGTAAGGTTTTTGGTTTTTTGTTATTTTTATTCACTTTTTTTGTAATTATTAATTATTAATTTTTCCCTAATTCAACAATATTGTGCCTAATTTGTGCATGTTACTGTTTATCCCAATCTTGTTATTTCTTAGTTTTTTTGTTATTTTGTTCACATTCTTTTGGAATTATTAACTTTGTCCTAATTCAATGATATTGTGCCTAATATGTGTTGAGTGTGACTTGTGAGTGTGTTCAAAATTTGAAGAATGTGCTTAATATTGTA